CATTGGTCTATGTGTCTGTTTTGGTGCCAATACCATATTGTTTTTGTTACTATGGCTCTTTAGAATAATTTAAGGTCTGGTATTGTGATGGCTCATACTTCACTCTTCTTGCTAAGGATTTCTTTGTCTATTCTGGGTCTCCTATTTTTCCAAATGAATTTCATGATTGTTCTTTCTATTTCTATGTAGAATGTCATTGAGATTTTAATAGGAATTACATTAAATCTGTATAATGCTTTTGGTAGTATGGATATTTTGACAATGTTAATTCTGCCTATCCAAGAGCATGGGCAATTTTTCCATCTTCTAAGGTCTTCTTCAATTTCTTTCTTTAGTGTTCTATAGTTTTCATTGTAGAGGTCTTTCACCTCTTTTGTTAGGTTGATTCCCAAGTATTTTATTTTTTGAGGCTATTGTGAATGGGGTGGTTTTTCTAATTTCTCTTCCAGTGGATTCATTACTGATATATAGGAACACATTTGATTTATGGGTGTTAATTTTATATCCTGCTACATTGATGAATTCATTTATTAGTTCTATAAGTTTTCTGGTGGAATTTTTTGGATCTTCTAAATATAGAATCATGTTGTAAGCAAATAGTGATAGTTTGAGTTCTTCTTTTCCAATTTATATCCCTTTAACTTCTTTCTTCTCTCTAATTGCTCTGGCTAGAGTTTCAAGGATGGTGTTGAATAAAAGTGGTGAAAGAGGACATCCTTGTTTTATTCCAGTTCTCAGAGGGAATACTTTCTTTTTTTCTCCATTTAGAATGATGTTGACCTTAGATTTAGCATAGATAGCTTTTACAATGTTGAGGTATGTTCCTACTCTCCCTAGTTTGCCTAGTGTTTTGAACACAAGGGGTGGATTGTGGGTTGATTTGCATTTCCATGATAATAAGTGATGTTTAGCACCTTTTTATCATTTAAAAACTAAATTTACAATTTAGTTCTTCAAATTTCTTATTTATTTTATTATTCTTTTTAGTTACATAAATATTAGGATTCATTTTGACATGATTATAAAAACATAGAATATAATTTTCTCTATTTCAGTCCCTGGTACTTTCCCTTTTCCTCCCCTCCTCTTCTCTCCCCCATTCTCTTCCCTCTACTCTAATGATTTTTCTGTGTTGGGTATCTTTTGATATACCTGTGGACCATTTACATATATTCTTTAATGGAACATCTATTCAAGTAAAATATAATTGATTTTTGTTGATCTGAAATCATACAACTTTACTGAAATTATTTATTAGTTGTAGTTATATTTAAGGAGTTACTTAGTATTTTCTAGATACAAGATTATGTTATCTGTAAATAGAAATAATGTTACTTCTTTTCTTGCTTAATTGTCCTGTCTAGAACCTCCACTACAATGCTGAATAGTAGTGGTGAGATTTGGCATCCTTATCTTAAGAGGGGAAAGTATCAGTCTTTATTAGTGTTCATTTTCAGAGAATACAAAATGTAACATTTTGTTAGATTGAGGAAATTTCTTTCTTTTCCTAGTTTGTTAAGTGTTTTTTTTTTTCCAGGAAGGCATATCAAATTTTGTCAAATGCTTTTTATTCATCTGTTCAGATGGTGTTTTTTTATTAATGTTTAGATATTTTAAAAACCTTGAACTGATAGAATAAATCCTACTTCATTATAGTATGCAATCCTTTTAATACATCACAAAACTCAGTTTGCTAGCATTTGTTGAGGTGTTTGTTAGTTTTTTTGCAGTACTGGGGATTGAATACAAGGGTGTTCTACATCCCTGGCTCTTTTTATCTTTTATTTGCTAAGGCTGGCCTCTAACTTGCATTCCTCCTGCCTCATCTCTCCAAATAGCTGGGATCATAGGAGGATACCACCATACCCAGCTTGTTGAAGATTCTTTTATCTATATTTGTAAAGGGTATCAGACTGCAGTTTTCTTTATTTGTGATGTCTTTGGCTGGTTTTGGTATTGGGATAATACTAGTCTCATAGAATTAGTTGGGATGTGTTCCTTCCTCTTTTTTGGAAGTGATTATAAAGAACTGATATTAATAATGAAGTTTCCCTTAGCCATAAAGAATAATGAAATTATGGCATTTGCTGGTAAATGGATAGAAGTGGAGAACATTGAGCTAAGTGAAATAAGCCAGACTCAGAAAGTCAAGGATTAAATGTTTTCTCTCATATGAAGAAGCTAGACCAAAATAAAGGGGTGAAAAGGCAGGGCTGGGGAGGAAAATCCCATGAAAATAGAAGGGATTTCAATGAAGTAAAGGGGATAAAGAGGGAGGGAGGAGGGATGGGAAAAGGGAGGAACTGCAGAATGAAATTGACCAAATTAAGCTATGTACATATATGAATATATTACAATGAATTTGACCTTTCTGAATACCTATAAAGCATCAATTAAAGAAACAATAAACACATAGAAGGAAGACCAGTAGAAATGGCAATGGGGAGGAGGTATGGGAGAGGGGAGAGAAAGAAGAAGTAAAGTACTGAAGAATGAAATGGAATGAATTATATTCCAAGCATGTATGATTATGTCAAAATGAAACCCACTATTATGTATAACTATAATGCATGATTTAAAAATTTCAAATGAAAAAAAGAACAAGTGCTAAGCCAGACATGGTTTCACATACCTGTAATCCCAGCTGCTTGAGATGCTGAGGCAGGAGAGTCAAAAAAATTTCAAAGTTCAAAGCTTGGGCAGTTTAGCAAGACCCAGTCTCAAAATAAAAATTAAAAGGGCACAGTTATAGCTCAATAACAGAACACTTGCATAGCATTAAAAAATGCCCAGGGTTCAACCCCAGATACTAGGAAGAAAGAAAAAGGACAGGTATTGATTTGTCTTTAAATGTTTTATAGATTAATCAGTGAAGCTATCTGTACTAGGGCTTTTCTTTGTAGGAATTTTTGGTCTTATTAATCTGATCTTGTAAATTGATTCAGATTTTTTTTAAAGCAGTTTAGGTAGTTTGTGTCTTTCTAGGAATTTGTCCATTTCATCTAGGTTATGTGATTAATTGTTAGCACATGGCTGCTATAATATGTTCTTATGATTCTTTTCATTTATGTGAGGTTGGAATTGATGTTCTCTATTTCCTCTTTTTCAGTTCATCTACCTAATGATTTTTCTTTTTTTTTTTTAAGTTCTTTTTTTTTTATTATTGTTGGTCGTTCAAAACATTACATAGTTCCTCANAATACTTTTTCTCATTTCAAGTCCTAAAAGTTTATAAAACGTGATGTTTGATAAATCTTGCAGAGATGAGTTCAATATTCATTTCCCAATTTCATGTCTTACTATGTTTGCATCCTACAGTCCACCTACAGCGAACAACCAATCTTCCCTCAATAATACAGATGGTTCCTTAGCCTTTATATATATGACCTTTCCATGAGCTGTTACTTCTTTCTATGTTCTTTGTGGCGCACTGCCCATCTGGAAAATGGCTCATTCTTAACATTAGTAGAAAAAATCAATGCCTTTTTGAAATTTACTCTTGTTCCTGTACGTTTGTGCAGCCTGTGCTGCAGAATACCAAGTAATTTCTTTTTTCTTTTGAGTTCTTTTTTTTTTATTATTGTTGGTCGTTCAAAACATTACATAGTTCCTCATACATCATATTTCACAGTTTGATTCAAATGAGTTATGAACTCCCAATTTTCTCCCGTATACAGATTGCTGCATCACATCAGTTACCCTTCCATTGATTGACATATTACCTAATGATTTTTCTATTCATTGATATTCTCATAGAAACAAAATTGGATTTCATTATTTTTTCTTTCATTTTTTTTATTCTCTACTTCATTTCTTTTCACTTGAATCTTTACTATGTCCTTCCTTCTGCTTTCCTTCTGTTCAATTTTTTTCTGAAGATAGGTTTGGTTATTGATGTGAGATTCTGTTCTTTTTAATACAATCATTTAAAACATAAATATCTCTTTAAGCACCATTTTAACTATACCACATAAGTTTTCATATGTTGTGTTTTTGTTTTCATTCATCTTCCAATTTTTCTTCTGATTTTTTTCCTTAATAAATTGGTTACTCAGGAGTATGTTCTTTAATTTAAATATATTTGTTAATTTCCTGAATTTCTTCCTTTAACTGATTTCTAATTAAATTATATTGTGGTACTTGGATTTTAATCCTTTTAAATTTACTGAGGCTTGTGTTATGGCTCATAAGAGCAATAAACAAGACAATAGACCAGTTGGAAATTTAAGAGATAACCAGGTAAAGAGATAGCTAACAATGTTCTATTCATCAGTATTTGTAAGGTTCTTCTTTTTTGTAAATAACATCAGATTGTCTTCTAAAAGGATTCTTCAACTACTAACTATATGGATGTCTATTAGCTTCCCTGTTACCTCTTTATCATGGCTACATTACATAATATGTGGCATAAAATTTGGCAGATTTTTTTATTGTTCACTGTGTTGTAATACTTTATCAGAGAAATAGAGATCACTTCTGATTTATGTTTTTTCTTTCTCTTCTTCCAAGTCCCCTGGGACCTGTAATACTCCAAATAGTGGGTCCTTTCCTAGTGCATTTGGTCAGCAGACAACTAGAGATAGTCGTCAAGGTCAATGGCAACGCCGGAGAAGGTTGGATGGAGCCCTGAATAGAGTCCCAGTTGGATTTTATCAAAAAGTTTGGAAAATTTTACAGAAGGTAAGCATAATACATTGCTGATGTCTCCTTATTTTCCCTCTTGAAATCCTTGGTCTTATTGACTAAGATATGACATAACTATAATGTCACTGTAATTATGTGAATATCATATGTTCAGATGGACAAAACAGAGAAAAGATAAAAATGCAACAGTTGAATTTATACTGTGGCATTATAAAAATTTAGTCTCTTTATATTATTGTTGCAATGATGTTGTTTCTAAAGTAGTTTTTAAAATCATGACTTTTCTGCTTTGGGCTCTAGTAGCATGTTATATGGGACGTTGTGATATATTTGCTGCTAGCCAAATGTTTTAATAATAAAGAGCTCACTTACTTTGTAGCTATGGTGAACTGAAAATGGTATTTACAACTGTGTGTTCTTTTGTAAGTACATATCACTGTGGTAAAACAAATACTGCATCAGGGGAGTTTGTGTAAGGATCGCTTACCTACATTTTTTCTTGAATAAAAACTACCAAACAAATACAAAATTATAAAGATGTTAGTAGTCCAAAGACTCTTGGTGTGATCAATATTTGTTTTTCTTTCAGAGGTCCATTTACCGAAGATATATAGTTGTACATCACACCATTTTGATGGTGACAATTTTAGAAGGCCAGAAAGACTACTATACTAATTCATAGTTTTTATTCAAGTGTCTCAGGTGCCACTTTTTGCTTCATTGCCCTGAAGAATACTTTATCCAGAACTTCAAAACCTTCAGTGGTGTCTTTCTCCTCAGCACACTGTTATTTTTCCAGAGACAAGACAAGGTGATTTTTTTTTTTTGAAAAGGTGAAAGCTGATTCCTCAGATTATTGGCTCTGGCAATCTCCTTTTCAAAGAATACATAGAACTTGTTCTCTTTCCGCCTTATTCCTTTCACACAGCGATGACAGATATGTATTTTCTCTCTCCAATTATGCGTGGATTATGGCAATTCAACTTAGCAGACATGTATTAGGTACAATTCTGCCCCAGATACCATGTAATAATCATGTAAATTATCTGTCCATTGTCATTGAGTAGTTGAATCTATAGGTATCTTAAAAAGCAGCTATGATGCAAGGCAAAAGAAGTTTCTAATAAAGATGCCTAACTACAAGCCTATAAGAATTAGAAAAGAAAGAACACTTAAATAGGGTTGGGGATGTTGGGAATTTTACAGCAAAATGAAAATCTGAACTTGGGATCCCAACAAAGGAGGCAAAAGACATATCCTGTTTTTCAGATCCATCCCTTTAAGAATCTGAATGTAACAAAATAATTTTGCATACATGTTTTAAGGGCAACAATTCTCTGTACAAACAGTATTATTTGGTATATGAAATAAAAGATGGATGTGTCTACTGGAGTCAGCAAATCTCTTGGTTTGGAATCTTTTTCTGTGGTTGTTTCACATATGGCATTTTCAATTATCTAGAGACTATAATTGTAAATCATTAATCTCCATTACTTTTTAATACTTAAAATTGATAGTTATAGGTGATAGAAAAGATAAAATATAATTAATATGATATTTATAAAATTATAAAATACATAATAAATGTAATAATTTATATTTATTTAAATATATAATATATTTATTATGTTATTATATTCATTATGTTTTCTATAACAAATATAATTAATATAATATAATGATAAATATAATATTTATTGTTAGAAATATAATAATACATGATAAATATTTATTATATATTTTTATAATATTTGTAAATATTATAGTAATGATATTTTATCTTTAACAGACACTGTTCTATGTGTTCATACAAAAAAAGACAACAATCATTGTCCTTATAGAATTTACATTGTTCTAGAAAGAAACAATAAATAATAAATACAGTAAATTAGTACCTAGAATGTTGAAAGATATAAGTACTATGGAAAAAAGGGCAGGATAAGAGTACTGATTGGGATATAGGATGCCTAACTAGAACACGTAGTAATGTAACCTGTTCGATAAATGCATATCTTAAGTTTATTCTGCAACCTAAAAATCTTTCTAAAGGTCTCTTTGTGATGGTTCTGGGATGTAGCTTGATATACTCCCAGGTAGTCTCTCAATATTTGGTGGGTAGGGAGGTTGCTAGTGTTTCCCAGAATGCAGATCTTCTCTACCCATCTTGCATCCCTAAGTAGAGGATGAACCTTGGTCTTTTGTAGCCCAGTCCTGCATCTTGGTACCTAGTACTCATGATCCCACAACAAGGCCATGTGGGGCTGCGGGACCTCTTGCTGACCTGTGATCGCACAGCAAAAACCCTTGTAACGCACTTAGAAATACAAAGTGTCTTCTTACAGCCTCCCATTTTTTTGCCCATCCCTCATGGCATGTGTTTTCTGCTTTGCAGTGTCATGGACTTTCTGTGGAAGGTTTTGTTCTTCCTTCTTCAACTACTAGAGAGGTAAGATTCTATGACTTTTGCATGTATAATGGTGAAGCATTTCAGTGATTTTGCTGGCTAAAGTATTTTAGTGATCAGTTTTCAAAGTAGCAGACCTATGTCTTTTTATGAGTCATATGAATACAAAAAGCATTTGAAGAAATGAAAGAATTTTTTAAAAATTGAATAGGAATATTAGAGAATAATTATGTATTATTTTAATTATCTAAGAAAACTTCTCATAATGGTAACTATTTTAGGCTATATGAGAGTTGGAGAGGTCAGAAGGGATAGAAATCTAAGAATGAGTAACTTCTCATATACCCCCAGTCTTCTTGTCCCCACCTTTCTCTAGTAGGATGCTTGTAGACAATTAGTAGTCTTGAGCTCAAAGTGTATGTTGGAGTAACCTGGGCTCCCATCTCCAATTTATGGATTAGAGTCTCCAGGGAGAGATCCTGAGTATATGTATTTTTCTAAATCCATAGAACGATGCTGATATATAACCATAGTTGGAGAATATTGCACTGATCACAGATATACATTATTAAATGCTTTTGTATTTTCTTTTTTGTTCAAATCACCAAAAAATGATAAAGAACTTTTATACAAAATCATATTAATAAGCTAGAAATAATCAGTCAGACACTAGGAAATTCTCAAAAACACTGGAGTTATTGCAAACAGCAGCTAGGGACACTGGTACTAAAAATGTAATGCTTCAGGCCTTTACTATTGCCTAAAGGGCTTTCTATAATAAAGAACACCATATTTCCTATTTGCCATTTCTTTGAATTTAAGCAATATTAAAGTGTTAATAGTATTATTAATAATACATAGCTGAATAGTACCTTTAAGAGTTTTCAAAGCACTTTCTCATTATTTAATCTTCAACACAACTACAAAAGATAGCCAAAGAAGGGATGGTCACTCCAAATGTACAAATAAGAAAAATAAATTAGAGAAATTAATAATCTCAGGTCATGTAACTCATAACTGACCAAGACAGGACTTGCACACAAGTCTTTTTTTTCTTTATTGGTTCTTTCTAGTTATACATGATATTAGAATTCATTTTGATGAAATCATAAAAACATGGAATATAATTTGTTCTAATTCAGTTCCTAGTACTTCCCCTTTCTCTCCCCTTCTCCCTCCCTCATTCCTTATCTTCTACTCTACTGATATTTTTACTATTAACTTATAGTTTTGTTTTAAATTAGTTTCTTGTGGATAAACATGGTGGTGAGATTCGCTATGGTATATTCATATATGTACTTGGGAAAGTTGTAGCAGATTCATTTCACTGTCTTTCTTATTACTGCCACTCCTCCCTTCACTTCATTCCCCTTTGTCTACTCCACTGGCCTTCTATTCTTTTTATCTTCCTTCCTCCTTATTTTGGATTAGCTTCCACATATCAGAGAAAACATTTCCACATTTGGCTTTGAGGGACTATCTTATTTCACTTAGCATGACAGTCTCTAGTTCTATCCATTTAACTGGCAAATGTCATAAAATCATTCTGGCTGCGTAATATTCTGTTGTGTTAATATAACACATTTTCTTTATCCATTCATCTATTGAGGGACACCTAGGTTGGCTCCATTGCTTGGCTATAGTGAATTGTGGTGCTATAAACATTGATGTGGCTGTGTCATTGTAGTATGCTGATTTTAACTCTTTTGGTTATATACCAAGGAGTGGGTTAGCTGGGTCATATGGTGGTCCCAATCCTAGTTTTTTGAGAAATCTCCATTCTGCTTTCCAGAGTGGTTATACCAATTTGCAGTCCCACCAACAATGTATGAGTGTACCATTTTCCCCACATCCTTACCACCATTTATTGTTACTTGTATTCTTAATAATTGCCATTCTGACTAGCATGAGGTGAAATCTCTGTAATTTTAATTTGTATTTTATTGCTAGAGATGTTGAACATTTTTTTCATATATTTGTTGGCCATTTGTATCTCTTCTTTTGATAAGTTCTGTTTGGTTTCTTTGCCTATTTATTGATTTTTTTAGTGTTAAGATTTTTTATTGTTTTTTAAAGATTGACTAGCTTCACTTAGCATAATCTGCTCTAATGCCATCCATTTCCCTCCAAATTCTATGATTTT